CACTTGTTAAAAATAAAAAACGACTGAAAATAGGGCTAAAGTTTATCAGTTCTTTATCTTCATCTTATGTTAGTTATTTAGAAAAGAACAATTTATTCAATTTTAATTTAATATAGGACTTCCCATATTGTTTTAAATTCACTTATATTTGAATAATTTAGCAATAATTATTCAAGAGAACTTTATCTTAAAAAAAATAATTGTATGGAAAGATAAGGGGCTGAAACGGAGCATTCTACAAAAATACAAGATTTCTCATGTCAGGGTAATATATATATATATATATATATATATATAATGGTAACGGTTTAAATGATGATAAATATTCAAGCATGTATAGAATTGAGTAAAACCAGGAACACGCCAGTGCTATAGTTATAAGCCTATGGTTGCTTTTTGATATATGAGAAAAAAGGTGTCGAATTAGATCAGGGAATTACAGGGGCAAAATGATAGAATAGGTAGAATGTGATTGTCAGAACTTGAAGGAATAATAGACAATAGAGCTAGTGTGATTTGTTGTTGTTTTGTGCAAAACAACAAATATCAACCATGTCAAAAACACTTAATTTTAAAGATAACAACAAATTATTGGACTCTTTTAATACAATTTATTTGAATGTAAAGATATAAATAAATTAAAATAAATGAGTGTGCTAATTGACAATAATGTAAAGTACAAAGCCGTAATGGTCACAACATTGAAAAACTAAAAATGATCTTAAAACTACTTGAAATTGTATAATCAATTTAAATGTTAAATTTACACTGAACATATTAATAAATGTTGTTGATTGATCCTTGATTCCTCTTTCTTGTGATCCTGTGTTCCTTTAACAAGTATTAGGTCAAGACTATCACTTCCACAAGATCCAGAGCTCATTAACAAAAGTACTAAGAATCACTTAACACGATTTTGTGAGATTTGTAGCATGTAACACCATATTCGATCAACGGCCTCTTTCGTTTAATCATCTCAAGTCTTGAGGATCATGCCAAACTCAAACGTGGCACTTCTTTCTTAGAAATGGACTAAGCTATGCTTCTTGGCGATGTCATATTATTTGTCTTGGTTTATCTCATTAAGCTGGTGTTTCAACTTTAGAACCAAACAGTCGTTTTTGGAAGGAAGGCAGAAGAATAAGTTTGATGGAAATCAGATAATTATATAAACAACGATGCTTGATCGTTGACCAGGAGTGACTAGCGTGAACATCAGAGGAAAGCCACTCGAGAGGGTCTTGTCGTCAAAAGCACCCAAATTTCAATTCATTATTCACAATTATAATGCACACATATATGAATAATGATGCAACCACATGAGGCACACCATATAAAAATATAAAGCATCAAAATTCAATGCCTCCCAAGAGGGACTTGTCGTGTATTATGCACATTGCATCCTTGGTGTTACTGGTTAGGTTTTTCTTTTGTTTTGTTTTGCTTTGGTCTTGTTTGGTGTTCGCATCCTGCTTCTATATAATAAAATCATTTTTTTTTTAGCCTAAGAAAATTGGATGACAAGAGGCCTTGTCATCACGTGTTCAGATTCAAGCCCCACACACTACAAGATCCTCAAGTAAGTGTGTGTTTAGATTAAAAAATTTATAACTGAAGTTAAGATTCAATTGAGATTAGCAAACTGAGGTTAGAAGAAAAGTCAGTTAATGTAACATAATTTATGTTTGAATACCTTTTTTTTCAAAAGTTAGTTAGATAAATTGAAACTTGTTTGGATGATTTGATTCAAAAGTCAGTTGAGATGTTTAATGACAAAAATAAGTATGATTTTTTTATCTTAAATATTAAATTTTAAATAAGCATGTTTATATTTTTTGACTAACTAATAAGTAAAAAATATTAAACTTAAAATCACAACTAATAAGTAAAATATCTTAAATATTCAATCATGAAAACCTAAAATAAATTAATATTCAATTGATATTTAATTATATCACGAACACGCTGCATCTATCTTGACGATTTGGGTAGATTTGACAAGGATGCCTCACCAATATTGGTATATTCCTCATGGACATCTACACTTTCATCTTCAGATTGCATGAATTGCTCATTAGTAATTAAATTTTTCCTAATAAAGTTATGTATTTTCATTGTTACACAAATAATTTGAACTCGTATTTTATATATAAATTTAGGCATTTTTCATATAATTGCAAACTGATTCTTCCATACTCCAAAAGTTTTTTTTATAGTGCATTTCAAACTTGAATGATAATACTTCCACACTCCAAAAATAAATGTAATGGCTAGGAAATTTAGGAATTTTAAAAAATGTGATAAATAATTTTTTAGCAAAAAAAATTAAAATAAAATGATCAATTGTTCTTGTTGGTATTTTGACTTAAATGTTAGTGAAATTCATAATATATTATATATGCACATGCAATGATTTAGAAAATAATTATGATATTAAAATTATTAATAACATGTTTGGATGATATTTTTATAACTTTATAATTTTAAAATAGATGCAATAAGAAGTTATTGGCTTGATGGAGTCTGTACTTGTCGCCTACATATTGTTGAGTCTCCGCAGCGGTAAGGGAGAAATTTTATTCTGCTCTAAACACTACAAAATTACCAAAATACCCTTTTTAGAAAAATCAGATTTTCTCCCCTATTTCCCATTTCATTCGTGTTCTGCATATAAAAAAAATAGGGAGTAAGAGACAGCTTCAAAAAAACCCTTCTCGATTCTTCTCTTCCGTTCCCAATCGGAGTGATTTTCCAACCATTCTTCCTCCTCCATCATCCTCTATCTCCTTTGTTCTTCTTGTTCGTTTTGTCGACGAGCGCGTGCGCAAAGGAGTTCAGTTTGTCGCTATTAAGTTCATGGATTCTTCTTCTTTCTCCGTCATATTCTGTAGCTGATTCCTCCTAGCTTTTTTTAAAACTAGTCGACGTTGCTGTGTGTGTGGGTGTGCACACAAAGCTTTCATTGTTCTTCCTTCGCATCGCAAATCGTCCACCATAGCTGGTCTCTGTCTGGCTGGTATTTTTTTTTCCTGTTCTCTCATGCTAGATATGCTAAAGGCAGAGCTCGAGTAGATAAAAGACAAGAGAGAGAAAGCATAAAAATTTAAAACGCATTTAATGCTTCCAACGGGTAGCAACGCTAACGCTGAGAACCAAAAGACAGGTTAGTGGGCTTCTTGAATAACGCTCGTTTGCATGCTAACTGAGGTTGAAAATTTATGATAATTCAAACAAGATTTTTTTAACATTTTGCATCTTAACTTCAGTTTGACCCACTCTAACTAAGGTTAGAGTGCAATCCAAACATGCTCTAAGTCTCCTAATGATCGGAATCAGTTTCGGGGCACCATGGTGCTCAGCACCAAAACAGTGCTGTTTGGTAGTGTTTTTTTTTTTTTTTAAACTACAAATTTATTGTAATAATAAATAAATATTATAACATTATTATTTTAATATTTAATAAACAAATAAATATTAAGATGTTAAAATTAAATATGAACAGCTTAACTCATTAAAATATAATTTGAACAGTTCATATATAAATTTTGATCTGAACAATTTAGAATTGTATTGAAAATATTAAAATTGTAAATAAAAATATTTTTTTATTTTATTGATTTGGCACAGTTGTTTATCTATGAGAAATAATATCATTCAAAGCATAGTCAGATATTAAATATAGGTACTTTTTTTAATAAAAATTCAAACATTGATTTATTACAGTATAAGAAATTGGCTCATTTTGCTAGATTCAACTCTTATTTTAAATTATTCAGATCATTTTTTATTTTTTTTAGTACAGTTCTCAATGCTCAGACCAAAATTTTATTCAAACTATTTAGGTTCAATTTTAACATATTAATATTTATTAATTTATTAAATATTAAAATAATAATTTTATAATAATTATTTATTATTATAATAAATTTGTGGTTTAAAAAAAGGAAAAGGAAAAAAAAACACTGCCAAACGGCAGTGATTTGGTGCTGAGCACCATGCCGAAACCGAGTCCCCTAATGATCACAGTCCTAACTTAACTCTCCTAATCTCTTACCTTGTAAAAAAGTCGAGCCTATCAACAAGAGGCATGAGCGATGGAGATTAGGCCATGTTTACGTTTGGGCTTCAGAAATAAAAGATGTAGCTGAGGCATGCCGTTGCGGGGCTTGCCCAAATATGGTTTTGTAAAGTCGTCCACAGACACTCACTCCTTCTATTAAAAAATATAAAATATTTTTAATTAAATATTATTCTTAATAAAATAATTATTTATTTTTAACTAACTCTATATTTTTATATTTATCCTTATTAAACGCCCTACAATAAATATAAAATTATTATCAATATGAGCACTTTTAAAAAAAAGATAATGATTACATCTTAAAAAATTAAAAAAACCTCATATTTTTAAACATATAATTCTTTAAAAAATATCTTATATTTTTAAATAAAGAGAGTACAAGTTTATACTACATACATACTTACCATATCTAACACACTGAGCTTGCCGTGGACCAAATATGACCAAGTATGTGACATCAAAATTCCAATGACCTCCAATGTTACAAGAGTTAAAAGTTCAAACCCCTAGGTGAGGAATGCAACATCTTGAAACTTAAGGACTAGGATGCAAAATATTAAAATGTAAGGATAAGTGGTGCAAAATTTCAAAGATATGAATATGAAATATTAAAATTTATATATCAAAATCTTAATATTTCCCAAAGTGAGGGAATGTATTTGTTCCCTCAGCTTAATGCTCGTTCACAGTACGTAAATCATAAATAAAAAGATCCATATCTTTGTCCAAAGAGCCCTTCCTACCATTTAAATAAGTCACCCTTTGATATTATATTTAAAATTCATCATAATTAACTATCACCATCGTTATAATATATATACAATTTATAAAAAGTTATATTACAAATTTTGAATACTACTAGTTCACCATATTTTGTTAAACACACCAGCGTTGAGCCCCGCGTCTAGTTGATAAAAACTTCAAATGAGAAAGAAGCAATGATAAGTCTTATGCATTACCATACAGGTGATATGACAAACTGCAGTCCTAAAAGAAAAAAAATCTTATTCTGAATAACTGAGACATAGATAACTATTATTAAAAAAAGAAAAAGGAAATTATAATGTTAAATCCTAACATCAAAAACTCAACTGTTATCAAAATTTAGCCTCTCGGTCGCCATGAATGACATCTCCACCGTCCATCCCAAGCAGCATACTGAAAATTCAATCACATAATGATGTGTAGTTCACTCTTTAACCAGCAACATGTTACTTTCTTCATCAACCCGAAGACTCGTTTCTACTTTCTGTGCTTTCATCTTGAAGCACTTGGTATTCTGCATCCACACTCCCATTCTCAATACTTGGCGCAGCAACATGGTCCTTCTCTCTGCACAGGTACCATCAATGGTTCACAACGAAATACACATACAAATAAAAATAAATAAATAAATAAATAAGCACACGAAACCTAATTGCAATTGGATCAAGGTCAAAATAAAATGTGGCATATGGCATATATAGCAGAATCTAAAACAACGAAGTAACTCAGGACATACGTTGTAGAATAAATGACAAGCCCTATAACAACGATTGCGAAGGAGAGGAAGTACAGCCAGTCCACCTGCATTCAGATATAAACATTTCTGTCACATTCCATTTTAGAAATAATAACATCAACTTGAAGAACGTGACTAATTTTGGACATGGTACTTGTAAGTGGTGATTGAATGTTAAACTAAACTCATAATGCCTTGATTGCTCGTTGTGGAAAATAATACCTTCTGGTGATACAAATAGATTTTAAAAACCACTGCCCACATGTCAGATGTAAGAAGAGATAGATTGAACATGGCAGCTCCACTCAACTGCATCGAACAGAAGCATTTTTATCAGAATCAGAGAATCTGTGCAATACTGTTAAGCAAAAAAATCATTTAATGATTTTGCAAGTAAACTCCAAACCAGATTGTTTAACAGCTATGCTATTATAATTAATCATCTTCAAGCAAACATCTCCGTTTCTGCAGAAAAGGAATTATAGCATGCAAGTCCTTAAGAAGGAAACTAACCTTTAAAACAAAAGGAGCAAGTGTGTAAAACAAGAAGCTTGATGCAGTATAGCCCACCAAAGAAAGTACCTAGGAAGGATACGATTGTCTAGTTAAATATGAAGAATTCCTCTATTCCATAGTCAAATATGCTGGCACAATTTTTTTTAATTCATGCTGTGTGCTGTCAATATCAAAAATCTTGCTGTAGTAATTGAAATTCTCTCTTTTTCTCCTCTTAAATGGCAAATTAGTTTACTTCTGGGGGCAGGGGACAACGGGCTTTGGACATTAATGCAGTGAACAAGAATAAAACCTACAACAAAATTATTACTAGGATCTACAATGATATAAGAATTTCAGTTTACTTACTAAATCGGTAGACCATTCAATAGATTCCACATTCTTCAATTCAATTATGGATCTGAAAGTTCATAAAATGAAGGAATACTTTGCGTGCACGAGTTAGAAAATATGACAGATACATGACCATCATTCACAGGCCATTACAAACCAGAAATAAGTTGACAGAGATGAACGATAAGGATACGCTTCAACGACGGTGACTAAGAATCCATAAACACCAATCATGGCAACCACTTCAACACGATCTTTTTTCTTGACACAAAATTCCTACATTTTGTATGAAGAGATCCAAGTGAGTGCATAAAAATTACAAGACGTGATTACAGATTAGATGGAAAGGCCAACTTTACTAATCTCTAGGACACTGGAATCCATATTGCTGCAGACAACTAAACTGAAATAGTCAATATGTGCACCTCACCAACATTGCTCATTGCATAGAAAAGGGTCCCTCCAATGACAAGTACATCACCTAAGATGGGTTTCGTCCCGCCTGAAAGACGGATAATAATGAGCTGCGCTTAATTGGATAATAAACTATTTCATGAATATAGTGGTAAAACTCAAGAGGGAAACTCATATTCGTAATGTAAGAGAATGCAACCTCCTCCAGCAATCCCAGCGTCAGAGAGTAGGACTAAGCCAAGACCTAGCACACATAGGACCGCACCAAAATACTGCCCTATGGAATATCTAGTGCCAATGATGAACCAAGTTAGTATCATGGCCCAAGGTATCGTCCAACAGTCCAGTAAAGTCACACTGGTAATGGATGAATACTGGTACGCTTCATTAACTGCGCATACAAGAATAAAAGACATTAGCATGTTCAGAATTACTTTCGGGTTCATAATTTGCAAGCTCAATGCTGGTTTTGCAATAACAGGGGATATATGAAAGCAACTCACCCAAATAATTCCCTTGAACATCAACAAAACCTAACAGTAAATACCAATACCAAGGAATCTGCAAAGCCCACAAGACGAGGCACAACTTCAGAGTTTAGAATCCCGAAATTTTAATTCATTTTCACCCCAATTGGCCATGCATAAAATCTGGAAAACAGGAGTTCTAATGATTAATAAGTCAGCACAGAGATACCAAGGAGATGAAGATAAGTATACCAGAGTTTTCTGACGCCTGAAAATCAAAATGCTTCCATAAACCAAGGCTAAGGCTAAGTAGTTGAACATACTCTGAGAAAGCGGGGCATTAACACCTACGCAAAATTGATCACCCAGAGAATCCAATATTAGATTTGAAGGTCATACAAAGTCGTTAAAACCTTACAAGCAGCTTAATGGAGATTACCCAGATCGGCTATGAGAGAGGAAGTGAGGCTCATAACTGCCATGATTGCAGAAACAGCTTGACCCAGCGAGAGTAAGCTGAACAGTCGTAGAGTTACATGGGTTCTCCACCACCTTGTCATGGCAAGCCAAACCATTGTCGCTTAACTTAATTCGCTTCAATTTTTGAAAACAGACGCAACTTTCAAAATGGACACTGAATCGAGTAAGACTTTCCGCAATATATTTGCATTAACCTCGGAGTCGGAGACTTGGAGTCATATTAACTAACCACAGGGCTGAAATGCAATTTGTATGCCTCTAATTTTATAAAAATTTCAACTGGGTCCTTGTAATTGAAACACCAGGAGTGATGTCATTGTGGTGTTTCTAAACTGATCCAACCTTTTTTGAGTGGCCAGAAAGAATCAACCAGCCTTGACATTTGATGTCATATAAAACTCAAGACTCCAAGCAATTTGGGAAATTAAACATTATTCATTTGCCTGATACTTCAATTCTCGAATAAAAGAAAAGAAACATTAACTGTTTTTAAAACCAAAAGGATCAAATAAAAAAGTGAATGAAATTAGAAGGATGAAAGCATATTTAACCCTGGTCACGATGATTAGAATAATTGTTTAGAAATAATGAGATATAGCTACCCTTCATTCGTCTGCTTTGAACGGTGGGCGGGACATCACTTCACCATCCTAGCGGTTGAGCCATGAGTCTTGGTGCTCTGCCAATCAAGCGCTCCTTTCTGATCCAAAATTTAGACAAACTAGGAATACCCTGTAAAAAAATTGTCGATCCAAGTACAATAATTGCCTTTACTTTAATCTGTTCCTACACTTTACTACTCCGACTCAAAATATAAAATATTTGTTATCGACCTGTGTTGATTTGTAAGATACTTTACGAAAAAATCAATAGTATTTAGGGGGGGTTGCATAAAAAAAAAGGGATTAAAAAATAGATAAATTGATTTTAATTGAGAGGTAATCTTGAAAAATGATGATAATTTTTTATGTATTTACTACTACAAATCACTGTTAACTATTTTTCTTAATTTTTATAAATATAATAAAAAATGTCTTAGATTAAAAGAGGACTAAAGGAGTACTGCAATACTTGTCGCGCGCACGTGCACGTATTCGAAGGCAACTGCGGATGCAAAATTTATGCACTAATTAAATAATTTTTATCATATATAAATTGACGATTCCCGCCCAATCATGTTCCTCTTCGAAGTATTTTTGTCATGATATCGCTGTGGATTAAAATGAACAGAATGAGAAGGAGGGGTTTGGTTCGTTGAATGCAATTTTGGGCAGAAGTGGATCCTTGACACCGCAGCTGAGAAGGGGTAAAGAGGCCCATTTGGATTGAAACGGGTCGTGGGTGAGGAGTGAGAGAGAGGGCATGGAATGGAGGGATCGTGAACAAAAAAGAGATTGGGACAGGAAACGACGCATTCCATGAACAAGTTCAGTAGAAAGAATCAACAGGAGTTGGTCCGATTGGTAAGCGATTCGGTTTCACTTAAGTAAGGTCTTGAGTTTGAGCCTTGTGTATGCAAAAAATTCTTGTTAGAAGACTCACTCACCATGTCAAGTGCGTGACGCGGGTTAGATCCAGATGTAGTCGAGGCAAAGTTTCGATAAATCGGGTGGGCTATCAAAAAAAAAAGTTTAAAAGAAAGAAGGGGCCCATGGCTATGAAGATCAATTTAGAGAAAGCTTATGATTACATCAAATGGAAATTTTTACATCAAGTTCTTATTGAAACAAGAATGGACTCTAACTTCATAAGTCTAAATATGAATTATATTACTTCCATCTCATTTAATGTTCTGTGGAATAGTGAAAATTTTGATTATTTTTTTTCCTTAAAAGTGGATTCTATCAAGGAGACCCTTATATCACCCTTCTTATTTGTTTTGTGTATGGATAGGCTTTCTCATATTATACGTGATTCAATGGAACAAGGAAATTGGAAGCTTATTAATGTCATAAAGGAGGTCTCTTCAATCTCCCACCTCACGTTTGCTAATGATTTACTACTTTTTAGTGAAGCATTTGAGAAGTAAGCTAAAGAAATGATGGAATGTTTGAATATTTTTGCTAGAGCCTCAGGAGCAAAAGCTAACAAAAGCAAGTCGTCTATTTGTTTCTCCCTTAATATGCTTTTAAGTCTGAAAGGTAGGATCAAAGTTGAAATAACTTAGAGAAGTGATAACTCAAAAACAGTTGAAAACTATTAAAAGTTAACAACAGAGCAGAATACTGCGATGTGTGCACTGTAACAGCCCTCCTGGGTCACCACTGCCTCTCCAGGGTCTTTTCCCAGGCGCTGGACAACACACATGTCACCACATGATTGCCGGCTTTCCCACTGGTAGTACAGTGGTTATTCCTCACCCCACCCTCACGGGGGTCTTTTGGAACCTCCCCAGACTCGAACCTCCAACCTCTACCACCTTAATGAAGTTGAGGCGAAGTCTGGTACCATTGAGTCAAGTTGACCCAATGGTACCAGACTTCGCCTCAACTTCGTTAAGGTGGTAGAGGTTGGAGGTTCGAGTCTGGGGAGGTTCCAAAAGACCCCCGTGAGGGTGGGGTGAGGAATAACCACTGTACCACCAGTGGGAAAGCCGGCAATCATGTGGTGACATGTGTGTTGTCCAGCGCCTGGGAAAAGACCCTGGAGAGGCAGTGGTGACCCAGGAGGGCTGTTATATGTAACAGCCCTCCTGGGTCACCACTGCCTCTCCAGGGTCTTTTCCCAGGCGCTGGACAACACACATGTCACCACATGATTGCCGGCTTTCCCACTGGTGGTACAGTGGTTATTCCTCACCCCACCCTCACGGGGGTCTTTTGGAACCTCCCCAGACTCGAACCTCCAACCTCTACCACCTTAACGAAGTTGAGGCGAAGTCTGGTACCATTGAGTCACTTGACTCAATGGTACCAGACTTCGCCTCAACTTCGTTAAGGTGGTAGAGGTTGGAGGTTCGAGTCTGGGGAGGTTCCAAAAGACCCCCGTGAGGGTGGGGTGAGGAATAACCACTGTACCACCAGTGGAAAAGCCGGCAATCATGTGGTGACATGTGTGTTGTCCAGCGCCTGGGAAAAGACCCTGGAGAGGCAGTGGTGACCCAGGAGGGCTGTTACATGCACACGCACCATAATGGCTCTTTCTCTGTGTCACACGCTGCAGCGTGTTGCACGTTTTTTATAGCAACTCAAGACAACTTCTGACATGCCCTATTTCTCCATCTAACATCCAATTGAGATGATTTAGATGTTTACGGAGAGCTCTTTTTATAAACTAGCTAATGGCATGAGTTTAACTTTCAAATTACATCACACAAAAAAATTGGATACTCAAATACATTTTCAACCATTTTCACAACTTGAGGGTGTCCAAAGCTCCATACAAGTATCACATGCCATTTTTAACATCTAGACCATGCTCAATAGACAATATCAAATTTTCACTCACCAACCTCTTATTACCAAAAATAGAAAGGGAAGGCATTAGCATTGCATTTCACAATAAATATTTAATATCATGACTAAATCAATTGTACTATACTTGTATTAGTATTTTGATTGTATCAACATTTAAAATTTATCATAAATAATATCCCAAGTCCCAAAATACATTCCATGCATCATAAACAATAATATAGTGTAAATGTAAATAAAATGTATCTTAATTAGCAATATACTTAATCATTACAAAATAATTAAAGATGAAAGGCTATACAATAGGAACCCTAGATTCTTAAGCCTTTGGAAGCTTTTTCCTTTTCACAATAAGGCTAGAGTCTATGAAATATTGAAATAGAGAGGTAAGTCTAGCCACTCAATAACTAACATACACCTACCATATGCAATTGTATATTAACTGATTTAAACACATAAAGTAAGTTGATTACTAAAAAATATTCAATTACACAAGATACAAGTTATAATTCTACAATTCACTTCACTTTCACATATCTTATCTCAAATTACATGGTACATTACCACAAAACACATAGACATGTGACAATGACATAAATCATTAATCTCATGCATATTGCCATAACACAAATAACTCTTTAACAATGGCACGCTCGCTACTATGACTTGCTACAAACTTAACAACTATGCTACATGTTGGATAGACACATATTCATAATCAATTCCACCTTATACCTTCCTTATATATTTTGACTAAAATTGTGCATTGTAATATCAAATAGGGCTCCATCCATATGATTGAACTATCCGAGCTCACCAATTGTGAGGTGTAACCTGGTCAAATATTACAAAACTCACTCTTAAACCACGGCTTCCCCCACTCTCAAATATTTAGTGTTGTATACCTTAAATTAGCCTCCTCGATAAACAGGTTAAGATAGCTAAGTTCTAATTTCTCGACAAACTATGGGATAGACTCTCTACAAACAGTGAGATAAGGCTTAGCCTTCATGTACCGGAAGGCAACCATAAATACCATACAAATTTTATACTCCTCTCCCCAAGCGAATGCCTGCCAATGATCATGCAATTTATAATGCTCATACATTTCACAATTTCATATGTTATATGACAATACATTGAGCTCACGCTATGACACTATCCAAGTGAGCATTCATATTATTTTCACAAAACTTTTCAACTTAAACTTTTAATCCTATAACACATTTCAAATCCTATTTTAACCACATATATAGTATTCACATGACAATATAACCATGCAATCATCGCATCGCACATTACGCACTTTTTGATCCAATTACATGTCATAATTTGAAAATCAACTGAGTCCAACTACACATTTTAGTCACATCAAAGATAACACAATATCATAGAGTTTATAGCATGCTTTCACATTTACAAATTCAATTGTATAAGTAAATAAATCCATTCTTACATTACAATACAATTAATAAATAACTACTTATGATAAGATTTCCCTGACCATCTCAAACTTTTAAGAGGTCAAAAATTTATCACTCAATAACTTGCTTTCAAGCTTGCTGTTCAATCTAAACATAGTGCCTGGACAATTAATCTATAATTAATCAAGTCCAACTCATTAAAAATTGTCAAATACATACTTCCAAGCTCTCACTTTCCACTTTTAAAATAGTCAATACTCTCATTTCTTACATTCAAGCTTACCCATTAAGTATATTAACTCTCTTTATCTCCTAGTAGCTTCACTAAACCTTCATGTTGCCATTAATGGCTTATTAACCTTTATAATTTCATATTTAATGCCTATTTTTGGACATTAATGGCTCCCAACTATCATTAATGTCAGAACTCATAATTTCTAGATTTAAATACTCAAAACAACTTTTATTAACTCCATTTAATTTAATGAGTTTAGACCCATAATCTATATGGACCAAAATTATCATTCCAACTCAAACCCTGACTTTAATCTTCCTTAAAATGGAAGAGAAAGGGAGGAAAGGGGTGTAGGACATTAACCTCAATGATTAGGAGCTTCAAATATTCTCATGTCCTCCCTAAAATCATGCACTATAAGAGCTCTCTTCATTCTCCTCATTTCTATGTTCTAACTATTCTAATTTCTTAACAGTTTGCATCTCCTTCTTTTGCAGAATTCATATTGTGTGTTGCAGCGCTTATCCCTATGCGCCACGGTATGTGATACAAAGGAGACTGTTTCATGTACTTTGGCTCTGTATGCCGCAGCACACCACACACACTTCGTGACATTTGGCACATAAACTTTTCTATTATTTTTCTCCACTTTTTAATGCCCAAATGACTCAATTTCACTTTAGACCTAATTTATACTTGAAATCTCAACTAAAAATACTCATTAATCTCTTTTGATTTCACACCACATAAATCCTACTTAATTACCCTTAATTAGGTTAATTATTAGGGGATGAATTTGCAGGATGTTACACAAGAGGAGCTGGAAAGCAAAGTTAAAGATTGAACTACTTACGATGTAGAGGAGTACATCAGATTATCAATAATTATACTAATGAAGGTTATACAGAAGCTTATATCTGTTATGCCTCCAATAACCACTGTGGGAGATGATGTTATGACATGGAACAGAAACTTTTAAGTATATGATACAACATTTAAAGCTATCTAGAAATAGAAAGGAGCTGAAAGGAAAAGGTTCTTTATATGGCAAACATTCCATAATCGGCTACCTTTCAATGCATGGAAGAGTAAGTGGTCTCAAAGCATTACGAATTGCAATTGGTGTTAGACTAAAGTGGAGGATATTCTTTACATTGTTAAAGATTGTACTCATGCCCAACAAATCTGGAAGAGATTAGTGCCGCAAAGGTACCACTTTCTTTTCTTTTCCATATCTTCAAAGGACTGGATGACTGCTAATTTGAAGAAGAAAGTTTGGTAGGACAGTAACTCTAACTAGGATTTGCTATAAGAAGTTATAATCTAGAAATTATGGAAATGGCGGAATAGTAGTGTATTTGATTCAAAATTCTAAAAGCCAAAGGACCCATTTTCTATTATCATGGCCACTTGAACTTTGTTGAACGTGGCAAGGATGATCTAAACTCCAGCAATAACTTCCCACAGTCAACTCTTGGTTACCACCTCTAGATGGGTAGGTCAAATTTAATGTTGATAGGGCAAGAACATCACCGGTTGGAGTAGTTGGATGTGGAGGGGGTGCTCAGAGACCATACAGGCCATTGGATTGTGGGCTTTTGCCATTAATCAAGATCTTGTAGTGCTTATGAAGTAGAGGAGTAGGCAATCCTTAGAAATCTACGTCTGGTTTGGGATTTTGGTTTTAAAAAGGTTCCTATCGAGTCAGATTACAAGAACTTGGTGGACAATATTGATAGCAAACTCACATGAAAACATAGGCAGCTTGGTGTTCATCGAAATCGTTACAATGCTAAAATGGAATAGAGAAGTTTAGATACATTTTGCAAAAAGAGAACAATCTGGTGGAAGAGCACCGATGCCAGGCTCCCGAAGGCCACCAATTCTGTGCTAACAACTGTGGCTTTTTTGACAGCTCGGCCACTATGAATCTTTGTTCCAAGTGCTACAGGAATTTCCATTTGAAGGAGTAACAGGAAGCGTCTACCAAATCCACCATCAAAACAACCCTTTCCTTCACTGCTTCTCTGCTGTCCCCTGGCTCATCTCCGTTATCGGCCGTAGTCTCCCCCGCTCCTACACCAACGTTGAAATTGCTGAAAGTTTCAGCCGATGTGTTGAGCTCAGCCATTGCATCCTTCAGGCCAGAAGTGGCGGCCGCGCAACCGAACCGATGTGCTACATGCCGGAATCGAGTCAGGTTGATCGGCTTCAAGTGCAAGTGTGGTGTCACTTTTTGTGGGACCCACAGGAATTTGGAGAAGCAGGGGTGTGGCTTCGATTTCAAGAGGGTGGGTCGAGAGGAAATCACTCTGGCAAATCCTTTGATCAAAGTTGAGAAACTCGAAAGGATTTAATGCGCACCGTAGGATGTCGGGGGCCAGGGCGATCTAGGATAAGATATGCGAACAAAATGATCAGCACCGTCCACAGCGAACTTCTGTCATGATCATTGGAAGCTGGATAGGAGGATTAATAATTTCTTGAGACGAGATTTTAAGTTCCCGTCTTCTAAAGAAACTAGGAGGGTTGAAAGAGTCGAGGGAGAATTTATGGCTTTGCTTTGTGAGAGAAAGAAAAATTGCCTTTTCTTGTTTTGATTGGAATTGAGATGTCGGGTCCAGCAAGTGGGTGGTTGAATTGTGAAGCATTTAGAGTTGATCTGTCTAACGCCAATTCGGTGCGGATCAGGAGTGATTGTATTTTCAAGTATGAGTGTGGATGTCACCTTATCGTCTTCCTCGTTTGCGCTTGTCATCATTTTAAATGGACGAGTGAGTGTGTCACTTGTACTGAGCAAGATGGATAGATAGTCAGAAGTCAACCACCCCGGATTAACACAGAAGCATATTTTAATTCCACGCGAAGCAAAGCTAATTACTCATTGTAATTACGATGCTATATTGCTCAGCCAGGTTAGAATAGAAATCGTATCATATAACAATTTTATTTAACCATCCCTTATAATTATTCACTCTAGCAACGCGATTTGCATTGAAAATGATGACGATCAACAGTAGTACATAACTTTCTTATAATTTTGAAAATAAATCAGGCGAGAAGTCAGGCTGTCAGTGATTGAGCGATTGGAAACCATGGTGGACAAGCGGACATGAACGCGGGGGGTTTAGCTGGCTGCAGGATGGAGGAAAAATCGAAAGAGTCCTTGTCCCTGGGATTGTTGTCTACGCGTCTTCATATGCTTGGATGATGGATGAATTCTCGTTAATAAATCACCATGACATCCTAAGAGATACACGTGTCTCTCTAGTTGGTGTTCTCGGCCGGCTTTTGTAATGCTGGATTCTTTTGATAAATTATTGCTCTTCCATTAGCTATTCATTTCATTTTAAATTATAAAATATTTTAAAATAAAATTACACATATTAAAAAAATTTATCAAATATATTTTATAATTTTATTTTTTAAATATAAATATAATTTTTTAAAAATATCTTTCATTTAATATCTAATTAGTGAAAACTATTAAAGAAATAATATAATAAAAATGATAATATTAAAAAATATTATTAATAAAATTTTATTTTTGTTAATGTATCTTATACTTTATAACAGTAAATTTTTTTAAAAAATATTTTATAATTTAAAATGGACAGAATAGTAAGTACCTCAACTAATTGAATCTATCTTATACAATTTTGACTCTTGATTATAGGTGCATCTAATGTAGTAAACAGTTTTTTTTTTTTTAATTCTTTGCCGCGATGTACCAGTGTCAGCCTTCGTTTAAAATAAAGTGAAGAAAACTTATTAGGTGGTCATAATTTAGCCACCTGTATACTCCTTTCTCTTATTGGATTTGAGTCGATGCTTGAAAACATAAACTAACTAAAAAAAATATTTTTCCGAGGCAATTCCGAATGCCAATGCTAAAAATAACGTGTAAAATAGAATATGATAAATTTATTTGCATACTTTTAAATTTTCATAACAAATTATGCTGTTCACAAGCGGAAGCAAGTTTAGTGAAACCATATGCCAAAAACAGAATCCATCAAATTGGACTTTATACTCTGGAAAAAAATGTTGATATTAAATGCTTCATCAATTTTAACATATAAAGTATTTTTAATCAAATTACACATATTAATAAAATTTAATTGGAGTAGTTTTTAATTGAAATCTCATTAAATTAAAGTAGTTGCCCACAGGCCTTGGTCAGAATGGGCTAACACTTGGATCCAAGCTCAGAGGAAAGTAAACCTTCAAATTTATGCACAACTCGCTGTCAAGGGCCCAAGGCCCTGTTTCATCAGCTACTCAATTGGAGGATTTGTAGATGTATGAGGAACCAAGGAGCTAGCATGATATGATCAGGTCATTTAGTAAGGTCACTCATGTCTTTTTTTTTTTTAAAAAAATCATTTTCTCATTAATTGGAAGTTTAGTTTCCGTGTTTAGTTTGATGGAAAGAGAAGCAGAAATACTTAATCAGAGTTCATCACGAGCGGGGTTCCGACATGCTTTGGAGCTGCTTAAGCTACTTATCCAAACACTGTCAGCTTCAAACGCATCAGTGTCGTTGTTGCGGTGCCATGACCAATGCGCATGCGTCCCGTTCAGGATCCTTAACCTTCCATGCCCAAAGCTCGGCTCCCGATACAACGACAGAGGGCTCGATGGACTCTTGAACCTGTGCATCTCAAAATGCGCACGCATATCAAATCACCAAACCAAAACTACATGTTTACATTTATTCAGAAAATGTTACGCATAGCAAGCTCACGTTAACGCAAGTCCCTCCCGGTTTCCTCCGTCCCCAATCGTCACATACATGGGACCGCACGGATTAGCCTTCTTGTTATAAATTCGAGTCTGCAATCGATCCCAAATATTAGAAATTAAAGGAGAAGAAACTCAAAAAAAAAAAAAAAAAAAAAATTAAAGGGGGATGACTTACAAAGCGTTCGTACGCATGAACATGGCCGGCAAAAACCAAGTCAACTCGGGCGTTATAAAGAAGGTCTTCCATGGCCTGTCTCATGCTCTCGCCTTCACCTTGATGAGCCGTATTAGTGTTATACCAGGGTGCGTGAAGGAGAGCGATGAGCCAAGGGGTCTTGATCCGATCAACAAGGGCTAAGTCAGCTTGAAGCCACTTGTTCTGGTCAGATTCAACATGGAAGTCGGTGTAAGAACCCAGCATGAGAATGTGAGCACCGGCAGTCTCAAAAGCGTAGTACAGATTAGAGGTGGAGCCACTTTCCTTGAAAGGCATGGGCCAACGAGCATTGAAGGCCGTGAAGCTATCAGGGTAAGTGGTGGGAAAGGACTCGATCTCGTGGTTGCCCTCCGTCACCATCCATGGCCGTCGACTGGCATAGGGCTCCACAAAACGACCAAAAGAGTCCCACAGTGGTTGATGGGTATCCGCATACGACAGATCTCCCGGTAACAGAAATACGTCGTAGTCTCTGCTATCTGCGTGTTTTAAAGTCGATGCTGTCCATTCTGTTTGACCCAAGTCACCTACACATCCACGCACATCAAATATGAATTTAATTACGTATTATTAAAATCATCTCTAGCATTTTATTTCCGCTGTCGTTTAACGCCAGGAGCCTGGTTCCAGCGGATCCAAGCTCTATACCCGGATCACGAGCTGGTTATAAGAACTTTGATATGGAAATCGATGTTGAGCAATTTATAAAGAGTTTTGCCTTTAATTATTATCCTCTATATGTGGCCTAGGATTGTTGCCGCATGTTTGCCAAATTTCCTACAAATTAATAATCAAGTACTGAACACAGAAACCACACCTTTGCGTTGGGTTCAAGCATTAGCCAAAACCACTCTCCAAGGTTTCTCTATTTAGTTGTTTAATTCCACCTGAGGCATAATAAACACAAAATCGAACCCAAAATGAAAAGTAATGAGCGCGACAACTTACCAAGGACTACAAATTCGATAGGGAAGTCAGCCGGAGGAGTCTTGAGGGAAAATTCAGGGCCAGACCCTCCGCAGCGATAGAAGTAAGTGGTGCTGGGCTCAAGAGGTCCGATTTTGACGTGGTGGATCTTACCGGAACTGTACAGAAAATATTGGTACGAAGTGTGATGCCCCCTTGCCTTCTCGCTGTATTCCCCGGACACTCTGCCGTACTCCACCGTCGACGGTGCGTGCTTGTCCTCTGTAATCCACGTAACCCCCACGTGGTTTCGCCCCACCAGCGAAATGTGCACCTTTGTAATCCAACACCAATCGGTCGAGGATTCAAGACATGCTTATGAATGACGCAAATATTATTAAGTGCTCGATTAACAATTAAGGAACCTGTTGAGGGTGAGATTCGGAGCGGTCGTGAGCAGTGAAGATGACAGGGCGAGGAGGCTGACGAGAGAACTCATTCAGCTCGTTTGATAGTGTGGGCCGAGGAAGCAGTGACAAACCTAGGACGTGAATCAGTAGAAGGGACACCAGAAATGATGACTTACATTTCCCCATTTTGGGGGCTTTTCTTGTTGATTGCTTCAATATGCTGCTGTGAATGAATGGTGCTTTGGGCTTGGGATTTCTGAAGATAGAGGAGGAATTATATAAAGGAGTGGCAGACATGAAGAGAGAGAGAGAAAGAGAATACATTTTTTTATTTTCGACTAATGAAAAGGACAATTTGAAATCGATTCTGGCCGGGGGAGTTTGCAATGGCTTCAAGCAAGTCTCAGAGAAATGTTGGATAATCCTTCCGCAACAGCCACACGGAAGTCTCGACTTTGCTTCCTCTCGATTGGTTAATGCTTTGACTTGTCTCTGTTGGTTTTTCTTGGACACGCATGAACGCCAACAAAATTCTCCTCTTTCCATTATGTCAATTGTCGCCGGGGAAAACAAGATCCTTTCTATCCATATTCATGAAAATTTTGATGATGACTCGAAAAAAATATCTCTCGAGTCTTGATAGCATACAAACTCGCGCGCTTATAATTAATGTGTGTGTAAAATGCAATATATTCTTTTATTTTTTTGCCAGCATTGATCATGATCATGTTTAAATCGAAGTGTTTGATGACAGAAAAATATAGTAACTAGATACGCGAATTTATGTGTGGCGTAAAATTTGAAAAATGAGCTGTGTCGTGTGTTATCCACGAGCAGTACATCTTTTAGGATGTTATATATACTGATTAGGTGTAAATTTATTTTTTACAAATCGAGTACTTTTTCCCATTATTGGTTATCTTAAGTACTAGTACTAGCATACAGATGTGGATTTTAAGTTGACTGGGTTGTTTATTTGCTTAATCTGCTCTGCGACGCGTCAGATTATCCTACTCTTCCAGTTAACTAGGAATTTCAAAACTATCTTATTCGCGTGGCACGTAAATATCAGAATATCTTTTGGAATATGCCTTAAAAAAAAAAAACCCCCCCCCCCCTCTTGTAAGCGTCGCTGTCTTCCATGCCCTGTAAGTCTGTAACGTCGGTCGATCCGTCTTCGCACCGTTTCTTACTTAAAAAAAAATATATATGTTTTTTTTATTTATTAAAATAAAAATTTATAATTTTTTTAATAAATATATTCATAATCAATCTAAATGCTACATGTTTAATCTAGATGGGCTCTTTTAATATTAATTTTTTATAATTTTTATAAATTGATTTTTTAAATGCATTTGAGACAGTTTAAATTTAATTTTATAATTTTTATTTTGATAAATAATATATTAAAAATATAGTTGGAACATTTTAAAAATATTTTTTAAAAGATTAAAAGTTAAAAATTTTACATTGTTCGGAGTAAATTTAGATAGTCAATTTATAAAAATTATTAATTTTTTAATATTAAATTAATCATTTAAATTAAATCTATCATAAAAAATATTATATAATTTTTTTAATAAATATAGAATAAAAATAAAAGTATAAACTCTAAAAATGGTCAAAATTTCATTATCCTGATAAGATAGCTCATTTCAAATTGAATGTGTCGATGCTAGGATTTAGGAATAATATTAGGCCTCATTTGATGTGATTGAATAATTTTTAATGAAATCGAAATTGAAATTAAAATTAGAATTGAAATAGAATTGAATTACAAAAATATATTTGATATGTTAGAAAAATTAGATGAAATCCTTACATTACTTTTGTTTGGTACATAAGACGTGAAAATGAAATCATACTTAAAAGACAAAAATACCCCTATATAAAAATTAAAATAAAACATAATAAAAGCTTAATTGTGTTTCAATTTCCTTATGTATTTTATATGTTAATGAAATATTATATAGATGATAGATATTATATATAAGTAAGATATTTTACAAAAAATATTTTGATTTCCTCATATGTTTACTATATAAATAAAATATTAATTTTCACATTTTAATTTCCAGATTGCATCAATCGTCATCTGTCGTTCTTCTTGTCGTTGATCTTCCCACTGCTCTCTCATCTTTGCTCGATTTGCCACGTCTAATGGTCATTTCTGGGTGTGGTTAGGGTTATATATTTTTAGGGCAAAATTGTCTTTCTAAAATTTTTATGAGTGTAAAAGTGTCTTAAAAGTCATAATTCTATGAAATTACCCGATTCCATAGCTTTAAACAAAGAATCTAATTCAGCCAATTTTTATGGAATCAGTATTCTTAAAAATTATGATTTATATATACTAAACATTATTTTATTCAGATTTTTATTTTAATTTTATTTTCATCTCTACAATTTCAATCTATCAAACATGGCCTTAAAGAATTACCCAGCTCGGGTACGATACGAATCTCCCTCTGATTCAAGTCTTTAAATACATGTCTCTACTTTAAACACTTCTTTGCATTAAACTAAACTTAAATTATTGTTCTAAATTTTTAAACGAACTTACTTGGACCCAAAGAAATTCTAACCCAAATAATTAAGCAAGTTCAATGGCGCGCTCTCTCTCTCTCATGCGTGCACTCGTGCACTGCAAATTTATAAAAAATAAATTATACTAATTTTTATTATTGATTTTCGTATTAGTTGATCTACCTGTTTGGGAAGATGTTATAATTGATTATGGGGCCTAGATAATCAATTTTTAGAAAAAATTCTCAAATAGAAAAAAAATTAATAATTGATTATTAAGTCAGAATCACATTTCAAAATGAACTCTGAAAGATTATTTATAGAGTTAATTTTACTGTTAAATAATACTCCCCCTATTAAAAAATGTAAGATATTTTTAATCAAATTTTATCCTAATAAAGTAGTTACCTACTTTTAAACTAACTACATCTTTTCATTTTTACCCCTATTAAACACCTTATAATAAATATAAAGTCATTATTAATAAAGATACTTTTTTTTTAAAAAAGTAATGGTTATATCTCAAAAGACTAAAAATATTTTATATTTTTTAACATTTAACTTTTTAAACAATACTTTATATTTTTTAACGGAGGAAGTATATTTTAGTTTTTAAATAAAATTTAACAAATTTAAGAATATAAAATATAACTTTATCAATAATTTAATTTTGAAAAGTAATATATAAAAAAATTTCATTATAATATAATTAATTTTAATTAAAATTAATTATATTAATTAATTATTTTATAATTAATTATACTCAATTGAAATAAAAAAAGTTTAATGAAAACGAAAACTCGTGTGGTATCTGATTTCGGGTCAGAAATCCAGGCATGTATCAAACTGGGTCAGGGAGTCTAATATTTTTGGACTTCGGCCCATTATGCAGCGCATCGTTTTGAATCTTAGTTTGTGTATGCGACTGCCGCCATCCCAACTTCGCGGCGTAGCGTCGAGCGGTACTGTAGCTGAGAGAGGACAATGACGATTGAATGGGAAACCCTCCGAGATCGTAGGTGATATTAATTATTGTCTTCTTCTTGTCGAGCCTTCAACATAGCTTATACATACTTCTCCATGCATGCTCAAGTGGGACCAGTGGTAGGCTCCGTTGGAATAGCCATGGACTTTAATCACATTTAGCGCCCGCATATTCTCGACTCCAACAAAATGAAGAAGCCACCTCTTATGTCATGTCTCTCACCAAATCTAACCCTTTCATTGGTCCCGCTAAGGTATCTTCTTATTTCCCTCTTCTGATTTTGTTGGTTTTCGTTAAAGGGAAACTATCCAGTTTAAACTCGGTGCCGTGAAGATTCCATTTAGTTTCTGGTAAATTCTTCCGCTGAAGTAAGTGTTAATGCTTGATTTTATGTTGGTGTTTTGAGTTTATGAGGGTGATGTTTGAACCGATTATATTTTGTTAATTTATTGATGATCATTTTTTTCAAAGGTGATAGTTAGTTGATAGAATGATTGGAGAGAGAACCCTGCAATTATTTTGGAGAGAACCCTAGTTTGCCAAATTTATGCGAGAACGATGATCTACTGGCTTTTGAACTGTAGCACTCATGAACTACTATTAACAGATTTCGGGCTCCATGTCACGGTTGATGTGCGGAACTGGGATTTCCTTGGTGCCCTTGCGAGTCTGTGTGAAGAGTTGCGGGTCGATCTTGCGTGTTCTATATTATAGATGAGAACTCAACTCTTCATACTTCGCTTGCTATTCTTGGAATCATACAGTCTCTTCACCATCTAGGCAATTATGTGCAATAATCAAGCTGATAACAACAGTTACACAATTTTCTTTGGAGTTATGTAAATGAATCCAACGTATATGTTAATTTTATGAGGGAAGAAGAAGAAATGATCTTTTTTTTTTTTAATTAAAAGCAGTTCCTCAGCCATGACTAGCTGATTTAAATTGACTTCCATTGCCTGGAGTAAAAAAGGGGATCCTGTTATGTTGATAGTCAAACTTCAACATTTTTTTTCTTCATTGGACAGTAAAGAAACACGGGACCTTTTGCTTTATTTTCGGTCTTATGGCTTGTGCCTAACATGTATCCACCCGATATGAAAGTTATATTTGAGGACAGTGCAAGTATGCAACAGTAAATTTAAAAGTGAGATGGAACTGTTTGCTTTTGATTATCTAAAATCTATCGAGGAAGAGTTTTACAGCCCTGATCATTGCCTACAGAACTTCAATCATAGCCTATGTCGTCGACTGCATTGAAGCCCATTCACTAACCAATCGAGATAAGTACTGTTTCCAGTTGAAATCTCGTGCACAAACATAATGCCCTGCTATCTGCCATTATTTCATCCATTAAATGGTTATAATAACTTTTCCCGCGGTATTGAAAGGCATCTTTGTCCCTTTTCATGCATCCGAAAACGCGAGTAATTTCCTTTTACTACCATAATAACTATGTTTCTAAGTGTTGGTGTTTTTGTCTGGGATAACACTTTTTGCTGTGATTTGAAGTTAAATCTTCTAGCTGTAACCATTGAATGGTTCTCCATGGATGATGGATAAAAGGTATATGATCGCTCCAAAGACTTCCTGAAGGAGAATGATTTTAACCTCCTTAGACATAGCTTTTGAAAAATCTTCCATGATGTATTTATACAGAAGCTTTGACAACTTCTCATGTTCCTAAAATCTCTGAGCTGAGATAAAGATTGTGCAGTAATGTAAGCGCTTCTTCATTTTTGATATAACATCTGGCTAAGATAAGCGGTGATATTTCCTCTGGGTGATCATTTCTGCAGGTAAAAATATATTGCCCTCATCTTTTTAGTATCCCGGGCATCGTGGAAACAATCTTGTGCTTAAAAAAGAACTCTTCATCGCTAGAGTTAACTACAGGTTTTGCAGATACAAAGTAAACCATATTTTTGTTGTGGTTAGCTTTAAATATTGGCTGAAGAACTAAGCATTGCAATTCCTTGTCCTGAAACTGTCCACTTCCTTCAAATAATACGAGAGGTAAATATGACATACGAATGGAAGTGTATTGCTGCATTAGAACGGGTCTAACTTTTTGCAGCCTATGCAGGACCTTTAAGAAAGGGGTGTCATTCTTTGGTTGACAGAAAATGTTTCTAATTTTGTGATTATATTATAGCATGAATAACATTGACCAAATCTGAACATGACAATTAGTGGGCCTAATCTCTGGAAAAGCTACATTTTTGGGTGACGAAAGGACTCTCTCAAGTCCCAACTCTCAAGCTTCCGGTGATCAGAATGTGAAAAATTTCCACGATGAAGCTAACTAACTATCATCGGACAAGTGTTTAAACAGAACAGAGTTGGATAGGAGGTAGCATTACCTTGCTGTAGCAGTTATGAAGCCCTAAGAAAATGATCAGAGCCTAAGCTCACGTGTAGAGTTGAAAGCACTTACGCAGCGTAATAATGGAAGGAAAAAAATCATCATTAACGCTGCAGGAATCGGTATTATGGGGAATCATTAAACATGACCTCAGAAAAAGGAGTGATGGGGGAGACTTTAAAGGCCTACTACAATATTGATGAAGCCATGAATGTCCTTGGAGTAGCTAAATACCTCCATGCCTTTTCAGCTTTTTTTTTTTTTTTGTTGAGTTCTACTCAACTCATTACCAGTGGGTCACTCGTGGATCTTTCTATTGCCAGTGGAATCACACGCCCACCCCATGATGAAGAGATACTACTTCTACAGGATTGAAATTTCAAAGCCCTTCACGTGTGTTGGTCCTTGATCGCTTCCTCTGCTTCTCACCAAGTCTATGCAATCATCTCCTTTCCTCGCTTTCTTTTTTTCGCTCGTTGAAAATAAAGATGGGTCGTCATTACCACACTGCATAATTGTAATTATAGGCGTGGTATATGATGATAGGTATTCATGAGTGCCAGTCTTGCAAGAACTCTCGAACACTGTCATGCACATTTATGGACGAATTTAAACCCCTTAACCTCCCTCGTGTGGCATGACTCATGAAAACTCGAATTTTTCATTAAAATATTCCATGGGGGGTGACTCGGCACCGCAGGGGAAAAGTAAAAAATGGTCGTGGATTGCCGGAGGGAAGGAACTGGAACCATTATTGTTGGGGCTTGCCATCATTGTTTGGGTCTGACCAGATTTATTCATTTCATTCACGCATTTACGCCATTTATTGCGAATCTTGTATGCTCGTGGCTTTCGGACATAACCTTTTGCCCCCCTACGCTTCTCTACTTCCTTTGACCGCATCTTTATCATTTTGTTGACCAGCCAGATCTCGTGCTGGGACACTGGCTTGGTTTAAACATCGGATAGCACCCTCGTTCCTTTACAACTTTTCTTGAGCTTGCCCGTCTCGCATCACTCTGTTAGACTGATTTGGGGTCAACTAACACGTTGGTCTTAAAATTTAAATCTTGCATTAGTTTTCCTCCTCAAAAGACTTTATGATTGATAGGTCATAGGTATATAATACTTTTTGAATAATTATTGACGCATGAAGTGAATAGGCTAAACTTAAATGTAAACCAGCATTATCTCATATCACATGTCACTCCCTCTCTCTGTTCCCCCACAAAGCATTATACTTGTCAAGTAAAGAATCTCGATCTCAGACAAACTTACAATTTATCCCATGACAATGCATCTCATGCACAATCTCCTTTTTCGTGCTTTTTGTTTTTTGCTTTTTGCGGGAACCCTTTAAATGATTTCACACTTGGCTTGCCATAAACGTACCCTCGTTAAATCGCGTGGTGGTGGAGCATCTTTCAATTGTTGGATATGGATATTGATTTGGTCATCTCAAAAAGAAAGAAAGGAAAAAAAAAAAAAACTCGTGAGTATGTCAAGAGAACATAGGGGTGGGGGGTGCTTATAGTTGCAGTAATGACTAATTAAAGACACAATCTCAAGGGAAACAGAGTTAGATGGCAAGGGCAGGGACGAATCCAAAAGTTAGTGGCAGTCTGAGATCTCCTCCCAACCAAAGGAAGAATGAGATTAGCGCAAAGGAGAATGAATGATTACGAGCAGCAGTTCCCAACACATAAAATTAGAATTTTGCTGGAAAAAAAAGAAGAAGAAGAAAGAAAGAAAGCATAATAAGTAAAAACAAAAGAGAAGTAATCGATTCGATGGTAAGGTGGGGGTGGTTTGGTTTAGAACCCAATCCAAACCATCATTGCGAATCTTGGGGACGACCTAGCCCACCATCATTTTACAAGCTCCTAGCTGAACAATCCCCCATTATTGTCCCTCTCTTCTCCCACCTGCACTTCCCATTATGCCCCTCCCCCTCTTCTACCTCTCCATCCTCCCTCGCCTGCACAGTACTACTACTAGCAGACACCAACTGCAACAACAAGAAGCATGACAGATACAAAAAACCTATCATCATTCACATGACGCCATAGCCATAACCATAATCATAGAACCCAACACATGAAATCTTTGAGCCTCTCACCCGGCCGCCTTCCCTGCTTACCCATGCATGATTGTTCTGTCAGAAAGAGGAGAGAACCACGTCTTCTTTTGTCTCTCCCTCCCTCCCTCCTCTGCCTTTTCCTCTATAAATTAACGCCTCAATGTGCCCCTTGTCCCTCACTTTTACTTCCACGAACTTCTCCTTGTTCAAGAATCCAGATTGCTTCCTCCACCAGCTTCTTCTCGCCCGACTTCTTTCAAAAGGTCTTCTTTTTCAAAAAGGTATATAGAGAAAGGCAGGGGCCCCACTCCCCCCCCCCCTTACATGCTTTCTTATGCCTGCTTGATTCCACGAGAGATGCACTTTGTGTTGTACATCAAGACCTATCTCAATTCTTTTGGCTTCTTCGAGTTTGGTTTAGCTTTTGTTCAGATATCTGAGGTCCAATCATCTTCAATTCTCTCTGTTTGGCTTCTTCTAACTTTTGTGCGGGAATCGCATGTAGGGGTTCTCCTAGTTTGGTGTCTCGGTTTACTCCACCTGATTCTGTGCGACAAACTTTTGCCTTTTTAATATTTTCTCGGCCGATTCTTTTCCATTTTCTTTAAGCATTATTGCGTAATTTTCTATTTAGTTCAAAATCCACGGTCAATTGTTTTTTTGTCTTTTGTAGCTCCACGGCAGCCTATGCTTCATTTTCTTCCATTTTTTTAAACGAGTTCGCATTAAAAAATTTTGAGTGCCTCTGATGGGCGAGGAGGAGCAAGTGAACAACGGCTCCGTTTAAACAGACACAGAAACGCATTGAAGATCTTCTTCTGAAGCTTGTCTCTTTTGTTGATGACCTTTATCCTTTTCTTCCATCTTGGGACAGCCGAAAGAAACTACTATGTTTTTTTTTTTTTTTACTTTTTTGTTGGGTACTTTCAAGTGAGTGCAGGGCTGGACAACCGTGATTTTCACCACATGCTTTAGTTTCTCAGACAACCCATATGACGCTATTTATTTGATCATAGTGTGGTCCAAAAGACTCGCTTGTTCTGGCCTCCACTCGCCATGCTTTTCCCTCTTGCCATTGGCTTCTTCGTTTAACCGTCATAATTATATCTACCAAAGCAATTTCCTAAAGCAAAACATTATCGACCAAGCCTAATCTTATTTCTTCTTCTTTAACATTTATCACCTGCGAGGTGGTTCTGTTCCTTTCTTGTCTTCTAGATATCTATGTATTTTCTATCTCTAATCATGTCTCTGTGCTTGTCTCGATGAAGTGGATATTTATAAATACATTATCTGTATCATGTTTCCGGGGACTGAATTGTATTTATATAATGGAAAGATCCCGTCCGTTTTGATCCCATTCGTTTTGTGTTTCAGGGTTACTCGAGAGAGAGAATCGCCTGACAGATATGGAAAGGCTTAACTCGAAGCTGTACCTGCAGAACTGCTACATAATGAAAGAGAACGAGAGGCTGAGGAAGAAAGCTCAGCTTCTTAATCAAGAGAACCAGGTTCTGCTGTCTGAGCTCAAACAGAAGCTGTCCAAGCAGGCAAATTCAAAAGCCGGTGCTCCGAACACCATTCTTGACCTGAACCTCGGCTCAAGCTCCGCCCAAAATGCTTCCAGTTCCAGCAATTGATATGTTTGGAGGACCCCACTAGCACTATTTATTTGTTTTGTTTCAGTGTAAAAATCTGAGTCGACAGTAGCAGTCCATGTTTCTGTTCCATAGGATAATATCACATCATGTATCAGATTACTAGTGTGTTGGTTTCCATTCTGATGATATCTGTTTTTCGGAAAGGGGGGGTTAGATATTAATTCGTGAACCAAAAGTTATGATATGAATCTGGCTATCTGCCATAAAATGAATGAATATAAAGCAACTACTGTGCTTGGCTAGTTTGCTCTCTGTCTTTGCGTGTGACTGACAAGTACTCTGAATGAAATTTGCTTTATTTGTTAAAGGATTTCCTGCACTCTTATCCTAAGATATGATCACAAGGGATGCAAGTGCAGCATTTTTCAGGCATTCTTTCTGAGAAATCCACAGTTCACCATCGCACTAGGGTTCGAGTTTGATGCTTCTTTTCCAGCTAGAGCACATTTTACGATAACGAGTGGTCGGCTTATCGCTCGTTCCTATAGTATAGATATATCAATTTGGTCGACGTTCCTATAATATTTTATATGCCCCCGTAACACGGCTTATCGTGTGACCCTCATGATTTGATTTCACATTGAAAGACTAAGGGATGGTTAACCGGAAAAAAAGCATTTTTCTTTAGTTTCATGCATGAATGTAAATAACAAACATGGGTGATATCTTATACTTTTTTTTTTTAATAAACAGAAGAAACTTAAAAAAAAAAAAAAAACTGCTGCTCTACTGAATAGAAGGTAAATAACAAAAATCCTCTGCAAGTAAAAACGAAGACCCGGAACAGTGCCAGGACACGCATAGTCAACATTCACTTTTTCCTCTCTTCAAACAAATCCAAGCTCAATCATCCAATCCTACCAGTGTACTCCAAGATCAAACTCCCAATTCTCATGGACATCATTGTCCCATCCTTGATCATATTGAGAGAACCTCTAGGAAATTTATTATTAAATTTTGTGAAATTGTAGCTTTAAAGTACAATTATTATTTAAATTGCTTATATATTACAGTGAATTTATATCTAGTAAATTAAGTAGGTTTTGTCAAATGTAAACTTGTTTTTTACATTTAAAGAAGATTTAAATTCGAAACCTTTATTAATATTTCACCCCATTCGTATCACCTTAACTAATTTTAGATGGTTAGGTGTATATGCATAGCTACATATAAATTTTGATACTTGTAAAACATATAATGAATTTAAGAAATTTAATATTTTTTTCAACAATCTAAACACCTGACTTTCGTCAAGCAAGTACATTGAGAGGTCTTGATAAACCAAAAAAATTAACCATCATAAAAATATATTTCATCCTTTAAATTGGATTATATTTTTGAGATAATTTTCTGTAATTACAAAATGTAAAAATATAAGCAGTAATTTTTAAAAAGTTTGAGATATTCACACTTGGTGTTTAATTGTACTTTGAATCGGATTGCATCGGCGCTCAATAAAAAGAAAAGGGTTTGGGTTGTAATTTTGTTTTCATAAATTAAAATCCACGGCAATGTCCTCAAAATTTTTATGTAGCTCTAAAAACCTAATTTATAGCTTTCTAAAAAATGATTAGAAATATCTGCATATATCAGTAATGAACAAAATTCCAATTTTGTGGACGCTAGGAAGTAACATAAGTTTCGGAGAGCCATGGGTGATAACTGATAAAGCTGATAAAGTCGGGGTTCGTTGATGTAATTTGGCATAATGCTGATGTGGGTTGCTCTGGCATGAAGATCATTTACCTGATGGTCAGTCACAGGGTTTGACCAGCAAAGATTTTTGCCGTGATTCAAAATTATTAAATGAGGGTCAAGGACGTCTAATCAGATATCAAAATGCAATTAACAAAATCTTTCATAGCTGTTGGTAGCCCTGCTCCTCCTCACTGAAACCCAAACCAAACCGCGTCAACGTCTCTCCATCTCTCACTTGATTTTGATACCAACACTGATCCGGACATGCCTTCCCTCATTCACTCACCTCCTCATTTGACATCAAAGTCAAAACTGTCCATTTTCAACCAGATTATTCGTCGTCTATGCCCTGTGTTAAAAATATTATCTTGAACGTGTTTCGAATTTGATTGAATAACCGCTCACTCGCCTGCAGAAAACTCGAAAACAGGATCTGATATAGCTCGGTGGTGGTGACATGGGATGGGAGAATAATGAAATTGCGTTGGTATTAAATGTTTGTAGGGCTCAGTCACAGAGTATTTTGCAGCCTGCGGATTTGGACATCATAACCGTATCTAAGGCTATATTATTGATGTAAGGCTGTGGCCTTGATCTCGCCTGTGAAGGAGAAGACAAGAATAGCTGAAGATCAGTGGACAAAAAGAACTAAGAAAAATACCAATATATAAATCGTGATTCATAAATGGAGACACAATCGCTTTCAGATGCTCTGAGAGGCTCTCATGATTCAGTGCCAAGCGGTGGGAGCGATACTTGCACACTTAGAGAGGAGCAGGAGCACGTGGTGCAGGGGCATCATCCCCATCCTGCTGCTGCATAATAACATTACTTCACAAGCAGTTGGTGGGAGACTTGGACGCCAACCAGATGAAGCGTTTAAAGGTTCGTTCTTTTTAAGTCGGGGCAAGTGGCTAGGCACAATTCCAACGACTGGCTATGTCGTATATGGTCTTGAAACGGTAATTTCATGAATATTCTCCATGTGTAAGGATAATCAGCCTATGTGTTGAAACAAAATGCTACCTCGCTCCGCTGCATCCTATCAAAACTCATAAGAAAAGAACTCAACAGATTTATCATACTCCATAAGCGGAAACGTTTTGTGGGACCAGAACAAAAAATGTCGGTTAGCCTCCAAATACTAATAGATCGGAGCAGCAGAGAGGTACTTCCTTCACGCCATCTTGCCTAAGCCATTCATCAACCTCGTTATCTGCTAGATGTACATTGAATTCTAAAAATTAAATAAATAGAAAAGGTTATTAATTGGTGTTGTTTTTCAGTAATATTGTCGCCGTTTATTTATTTTTTGAAAACATGCCAAATACTTTGAGTTTGACTTAAGCACTTCTTAAATTGTGACTGTAAATAATAATAAAGAATTGTCTGAACGTACAGGAAAAATGAACTAGAATAAGGGGTTTATTTAAAAACTTGTTTTGATAACAGTTTTTTATTTTTTAAAATAAGAGAATAAAAAAATTTGTTTGGTAACGTGTTTTCAAAAAATATTTTGAGAAACAAAGATATAAAATATTGTTTTGAAAAATATAAAAATAAAAATAACTTTTAAATATTCTGTGATTATTATTTTGGAGAACAAGAGAGAATTGAAAAAATACCTATTTTTATTATTTTTTTATTCTCAAAACATGTTATACAAAATTTCAGTTCTTAAAATAATAAAATAAAAATAATTTTAAACAATCTCAAAAATACTGGTGTTTTCTACCCTTTTAAAATTGAAGTTTGTGTCCAGCTGATAAATTGCCTTAAAACTACGAAGAATCATTACTTATTTATTTATCTTTTTAACTAAGTTTAAGATTGGTACTCCATTCATTAAAAAATATAAAATATTTTTAATTGAATTGACCATTTGATAAATTAGTTAACTATCTTTAAAGTAACATTATTATATATATATATATATATATATTCTTATTTAATAAGATATCTTGTTTAAAGGCAAAATGTTTGGTCATTTATTGATTCATTGAGGATATTTGTGTAATTAAACATTAAAAACTAAAAATATTTTATATTTTTTAACATCCAAATTTAAAAAAAGTGTTTTACATTTTAAAACAAAATAAGTATAAAATTAATAGTTAATTGTTATCAGGGGTAATGAGCACCGGGTGCTTATCAGTCATCACCTCCCAAAATAGTTTAGACTATCCAAATTTAAATACTTTTTTATTTTTAAAAATAAAAATTTATAAAATTTGAATAAATTTATTAATCACTAGTATATATTGTTCATGTTTAATCAGATTAGTTCAAATTTAATATTAATTTTTATAATTTTCATAAATTGACTATATAGATTTACTCTGCATTGTTTAAATTTAAAATTTTTAATTTATTATACTATAAGATTTAAAAAATCCAAAGTAAATATGTATGATCAATTTACAAAAATTATAAAAAAAAGTAATATTAAATTTGAACTAACCTAGTTAAATATGGACTATATATATTAGTAATTAATAGATTCACTAAATTTTGTAATTTTTTATACTTAAAATAAAAATGCATTTAAATTTGGATTGTTCAAATTAAATTTAAATAGTCTAGATTATTTCAGAAATGATGGACATAAGGTAACTATCACCCCAGACGAGTATTGAATGTGCTCCCCAAAATAACTTGGCAAACAGTTTTTCGGCCATAGATAGTATATTTAGTGCAAACCGGAGCACTGTGCAACCCTTGTACCGTTGCGCGCTCACATCTCAGAATGATTGAACACCTATTTTTGGGTAGAACATCTATAGAGTGTGATAACGCGAAATCGCATGGAAGTATAGGCAGCTTGATGTTTGTCGAAATCGTTACGATGCTGAAATGGAATTGAAAAGTTTAGATCCATTTTGAGGACAAAACCAAGTGGCAAATAGAATGGCAAAAGAGGGGCTTTTCCTCTTCTATTTTTGAGGTTGTTCCTTGTTTTGTAAGGAGTTTTATTTCTCCTGAAGGTTTGGGAGCTCAGTCCCTTTTTGTGTAATTTCTTTTTTGGATCAAGACTGAAATTCATTCAAACAACAGATGCAGTACAACATCAATAGAAACTAAAGCAAGAAAACAGAGAGGAAAAACCTCAAACATCATTCACTTCCAAAAATAATATTAGGAGGGTAATGATCTAAAGTGCAAAAATAACTCTCCATAAAATAAGCTTCTCTTATAAGAGAGTGAACATGGCTAATAATGTTCCTAAAAGCAAAATTAATGGAAACAAGCCAATCTCAATAAAAAATATTACAAGCATTTTGAATCATATTAAAGTAAGGGTGGTCTTCATGATGACCTCTCAAAATAAAATTAATAGCTTTCACACAATCAGAATAGACTTCAGTATTTCTAAACCCCTTAGACTAACAAAGATTGAGTCCAACAAACAAATTATATAGCGCTTGTGTTTTGTTTTCAACAAAATTTCCGTGTGTTTTTAACATGGTATTGAAAATCGGACCGGACCGGCCGGGTCAACCAGAAAACCGGTGAACCGGTCCCCTGTCTGGTCTGGGTTTGCACTTAACCCGGTGAGGGAGTGAACCGGTGTAACCCGGTCAACCCGGGTTCAACCCGATATAACCCGGATAACCCGGTGGGTTGACTGGGTTAACCGGGTTAATATTTTTTCAGACTTTTACCTCAAAACGACGTCGTTTTTGATTTTTTTTTTCATTTTTAACTTTTCAGAGCTCTGAGTTCGGAAAAAAATAACAAAAAAAAATAAAATTAAAGTCAAAAAATAAAAAATTAGAGAAAAAGAGCATGCTAAGTCCAAAAATATAGTATTTTATTATTGTTAGACTTTTGAGTGGTTGGATTTGGTTGAATGTTTTTATAATTAATGTCTTTTTATTTAAATTGTATTATTTTAATCATGACCGGTTTGCCACCGGTTCAACCCCCGGTTCAACCCTGATTGAACCACTAACCCGTGACCCAGTGTCATGACCGGTTTAATGACCGGTCCGGTTTTATGTACCTTAGTTTTTAAAACAATTACCGTCCCCAGGCGTAAATAAGTCTTCCCCCACATTGGACCATACTTTAAGCCCAACACCTCAAATACCCTCTCAGGCCCATTAGCCCAAATGTCGATTCACTCTTGAGATGTTGTCATGATTCGATCTCCGAACAAATAGACACAATGTGGATTGTACCAAAAACAAAACCAAAAAAAAAAAAAATCTGTATTAAAACAGTCTGGTTTCGGTGGTAGAGCCCCTTCCTCACCCCCACCGCTTCTGCAAGGAACAATTTTGCGCGTTCCTCTTTCCTCCCAAATAATCTTTGGCTTCCTTCCTTGTTTATTGTAGCTCTCCCTTTTCACTCTGGCAGCGCACGGCAAACCCCCAAATTTTGCTTCTTTCCCCTTCTCAAAACCCTAATTTCATCTCAAGCCTCTGGCAGATTTCCTGCCTCTTCGACTGATCTCATGGCTCATAAAGAGTTTCAAGTCCCACCGGTGGTTTTCAAATCGGGCGCGAACCCCGTCAACGTTGGGGCTGGTTTCCCGCAGCGGCGGGTCCCCACGGCTCCGTTTCAACCTCCCCGGCCTTCCAGTTCCAGTATACCCTTCATGTCCTTTGACATAGGGTCTGCAGCCGCATCCACCTCGTCCGGTCCGCTTTACGGTGGACCCATCGGAGGTGGTGGCTCTGCTAACTTTGATGACGAGGAACCTCTGCTCGACGAGCTTGGGATCCACCCGGACCAAATCTGGAAGAAAATCAGATCGATACTCATTCCTTATCGGATAAATTACGTGGTTCACAAGGATTCCGACTTATCTGGTCCCATCCTTCTCTACATATCCTTCTGCCTCTTTCAGTTACTCGCTGGAAAAATACAATTCGGTGTCATTTTGGGTTGGATCGTGGTGTCGTCTATTTTCTTATACGTGGTTTTCAACATGTTGGCTGGTCGATCCGGTAATTTGGACCTGCATACATGCACGAGCGTGGTGGGGTATTGCATGTTGCCGCTAGTGATTTTATCCGCTCTATCGCTGTTCTTGCCGCAGGTTGGGATGGCGGGCTTTGTATTTGCCGCGATTTTTGTACTTTGGGCGACGAGGGCCTCCACGAGTCTCCTTGTCTCGCTTGCTGATGGTGAGGATGAACATCGCGGACTGATAGCGTATGCCTGTTTCTTGATCTACACGCTATTTTCACTTCTTATTGTATTCTAGAGATTCGATTGGCATTGCAGTTTTGGATGGCAGTGCATATATTATGAGATTAAATGGACCGTTTTATTGCATTCAAACGTGAGATGTAGAAAATGTTATTGCTCTTCATTGAAAGTTCTTAATGGAAAAGCTACCCGGCGTGACTTGTACTGTAGTATTGTTGTGTGGTGGAAGTAAATATTATGCTTCTGTTTTGTTTTCTTATCTAGATTTTTTTTTTTTGGGTTGATTTCATATCTCCTGTGCTTGATTTTCCAATTATGGTGGTGGCTTGTGTGGTGCAAGTTGATAAGTAGAACAGTTTCAAGATTAAATCTCGAAGATTGCACAAAATCTTGGTCCATTTGAGACGGTATCAACTTAAACAGCTATGCTGTGCGATCATAAATATTCTGTATAGAACATTTTGACCTGGCAAATTTTGTCATTAGAATGAAATGAAATTACCAATTTTTGGTGTTTGCTCAATGAAACACACTTCTCACTTGTTGGCTTAAATTATGCGATTTGACCTGGCAATATGACAACCTTTATTTTGCTTGCGTTTCAGTGAATTTAACACTACTATATGAAAAAGAATTTAAAAAAATATTCATTAAGGGTGAAATTTATAGCTATTATTTTATCTTTTGGTGCAGTTCACAAAAGACAAAATGTGAATTCATCGATCCAAGGTTTTGGGTTGATACTTGCATGATTAGCATCTTTAAAAACCATCGAGCACACTAATCAAAGAGTGCATTCTTGATGTTTGAGACTTACATGCATTTGAAGTATGTCACGTTGTTATCGAATTCTCCCACATGCAGATTGACCTTAATATATATAAAGGTTAAATTCATTTGCTGTTCAGCTAATAGATGTGGAAACCTATTGCAATGTTTATTGGAAACTTATAGATGATTTTGGATAGGCCGAGGACTGAGACAATGTTCTCTCTTGTTTGTGTGTTCTCACGATGCGAAAAAACTTTTTTAATGAGAGATGTCTTTCATCATTGAAAATTACGAGTTTGCAATGTTTATGTGACCCTTTACCGTGAGTTCTGCTTATATTAATTACCAGTTAGATACTGGGACTGAGACATGGCCGAGACTCCTAGAGTGGGCAGTAGTGGGGAATTCTCACGATGGCAAAAGTATGCTTTTTAATATGCTTGAACTCCATGCTTAAACTCTGGAGCTTCCTGGACAGTTGATGAATTGAAGTTTTCTCAATACCCTTTCTTGTTGACTGGTGACTGTAACCTCATGTACTGAGGAGCTATTTCCTTTATTTTGTCAATTAACTGTAAGATTATGAGCCCATTGTATTTACATTATTCGATTGCATTTGAGAACAAGTTTTTCAGTCAAACCTAGATCAAATGATTATTATTCGTGTTGGCTGGCGTGGGTTATTTTGCCTCTGCTTTTCTTTGAGATTGTTTTCTGGATGCATTATGCGAATCATAGGAGAAAGCTGCACAAAAATATTGAACCTTTGATACTATTGAGCATTGTTTCCTCTCAAATCAAAGAGTTCATGCTCCGCTTATTGGAGCTTTTTGTGATAAGAAGAGATCCCGAGTCATTCGTGGGACTACATTTATATCCTTTACTTGTTCTCCCTGTTCTAGGCGGAATTCATTTACAAGACCTTCTAAGTAAAATATCTTTATGGGTAGACATTCCCTTTTAGTTTCTGGAAAACTGTTCAAGAATAGTTGCATCTATGATGTTCGATTTGGTCAGGATCATGAAGACAATGCCTGGGATGCTTGATGGTGAAGGTTCCTTTTTTTTATTTTTTTTTTCATGACACTAGCACAGCATCAATCCATGCAATTCAGGCCCAAAAACCACTGTGGCTACTCCTTTATTACTTTTTTATTTACAGGTGCAAAAGATACATTTTATCCATAAATTGCATTAATTTTATCTAATTCTGAGTACTGAATGAGACCTTAGAAATTATACGTGATCATGGAGTTGGATAAGTAGGCTTGGGAAGGGCTCAGATTTCTTCCCCGAGCCCGGCAAGTCGAAAGCCTAACCGAGCTGGACTTTTCTGCCCTTTGTGCGGAAGGCTTAAAAAAAATTATTGCCCTGTTACTATTTTTATATATGCTTAAAGACAATATGACTCATCTCATCTCATGCTTACAGAGAGCCCTCAGCATTTAATTTAGAAAATGATGGTGGAATAAGTGACAAAAGACAGTATAGTTTAGGAAATAAAAAACGACAAATTATCTACCAAAAAAATACTAAAAATAAAAATCAAATAAGGAATTCATGAACTTCAGACTGATATGCTCTTTGGATACTTGTATGAGCTGAAAATGAAAAAGGAAAATTGTTTCTGGGCGAAAGAGTTGATGTGAAATGAAATGTTGGACTTGGAAAGGTTTTAAATTAATTTGGTTCTGGACCTCTGGCCTCTGGACAGCGGCAGGATTTAAAAAGTACAGACGTGGCCTCTTTTCAAGCTGCGCTTTTCTGAAAGGGCTCTTTTTCAACCGATCTTGTATTCTATTTTTAATGCAGGCCTACAGGCTTAGTGGGCTTTCAGACCGATGAATCCTGATCGGTCTACTTGCAAGCAAAGTTTGACGGTTCTCCAATCTCTTGTCGTGCTGACCATAACTGAATGATATAGTTATGCGTATGAGTAGTTCATATTTGAGATATCAAATATGAGTGGTAGCATTTCTGTGTGTATTAATTGTGTTTTTGCTCCTTTGGAATTGACACTTGAAGACGAATAGGCAGGTATATGTCTGGTGCAGGCGTTGAATTGGTGGAGCAGCTATAGAAGGAGTTGATGCTTTGAAACCTAATGTAGTTTATCCCTGCGATATTTGTTGGACTTCGTTCTACTCACTCCCTACCTAAATTCTATTTCCATTATATATATATATATATCTATATATATATATATTACATATTACTCCATTCCTGGCACGACCAGAACAAGAATCATGACTCGTGCAGTTGGAGACGACAGAGAATTCACCCTTGAGATAGATGTGGACGAGGAAGACGATCTGTTTGAAATCGATCTGGACGTTGTAAATTGCGTTCCGCCACGATTTGGTTTCAATTAGTTACAGTCTAGACTCCAGAGCGGATATTATGCGTGGAATTGTGGATAACTTCTTCAACTTCAAACTTTACCCAAAAAAAAAATAGATTTTAGTCTTTATGCCCATGACTCCTTCTACGTTAATTTTTTTTTTTTCGGGAGAAAATACAATGTGATAGAGTTTTCTTTGGTTTTTCAATATATCTTCACAGCCAGCAATCATGAAATTAATCCTTTAAAAAAGTCTAAATATTATTTAAGTAATTGTCTTTCAAAAAGATACTTTCTATACACACTTCAAAAAATAAAATTTTAAAATGATGCTTACGAGCAAGACCTTTTGCACCATGTTCATTAAGCATATGATAGAATACTTATCTGCACATGAAAAAATTTAAAAGTACAATTTGCCTATTTAAAAACTCAAAATTAAGAGACTATTTGAAAATAAATAAAATTTAAGAGGATATATGTTGAATAATATATTTTATTCTTCTAGTAAATAATAAAATAATTAAGAGTGAGGAAAAAGCTATTGGGTAATGTTTTAAACGTCCCTATAATTTCAGACACAAAACAAAAAAGCGCTTTTAATTAAACTTTTCTGGCCGTGCTAACCTTTGGAAATGGCTCACCCCACCCCCCCCCCCAATCAAAAAAAAAAAAAACAACCGGATTTTTCTTCAAAAGGCAAGTCAAACGTTCCATAGAAGCGAAACAAACATGTCATAGACATACACAGAAGCAGATTCCTTACAGCGGTACGGCCAACCTTGAATCGGAAGGCGAACAGACTGCAACTACAAGAAGACGCAGGTGGTAATGCTTGGCCATTTATATTACACAGGGAAATGCGGTACTATACTGATGGATACAACACAGATCAGATGGAGGTGAGGAATGTTAAGCCAATTTATTCATGAAATGCATCATTGTTCTCAGCGCCTTCTGGCAGCAGTTTCCCTCTGTGCGTTGAAGTAGACGGCAGCAACAGGGAGGCCAAGATTGTTCTGTGCAGCGAAATCCCGAGTGTTGAAGTGATCCCTTGAAGAAGACGAAGACAAAGACGGTGCCCTCACACACTGCCTTCGATTCTGCTTGAACAGCACGAACACATACCTGTGTATCCCTATGTTTGGCTTCGGCATCTCATAGCTCACCACCTCTTTTCCTGTATTATTTTCAACATACAACAAGAAAAGAAAACCATCAGTCACCTTAGCGTGGTCCTGCGCAACTTCTGCTACAAACCAGTGAGTGAGTGAGTGAGTCTATACCAAATGTGGCATCCGTCGTCCCTGGAATATCTGTCACCATCCTGCCAACATCAAATTCCAAGTCAGAATTCTCCCACACCGTCCCTTTACCTCTTACACATACTGTATTCACTGCCACTACTTGTTTACTTTTCTCCTGTCCTTTCCCCTCAATCGCATTGGTCTGAATGAATTGGTTTGTCATGACACTTCAGAGGCCTGTGTACTTTCGTCATGGGCCACAGTCTCAATTCATTGAACAGGGAGCCTAATCAAGCTAGTTAGGCTGTATTTGAAGTCGCTTATTATTACGCATGTACTCTCTCTTCAGTTTTATTTATGAAACACTTTTTTTAAAAAAAATTATCAAAATATAAAATAATTTATAAAAATTAAAACTAATTTTTTAATTTTACCTCTTCTTATTAATAAAAATAATATTTATATAATAATATTATTTAAAGTTAAATATAAAATAAAATGTCTTTCACTTTCTTTATAATATAAAAAAAGTTAAAAATGGCTGGTTGAAAATGTCACGTAAATAAAGACAGGAGTATATAGGAACCAATAGGCACGTGCTCCCTCGCTCGCTTTGTCTCCACAGACGTATGTGTAACTTACAAATAAAGGCGCGTAATCTAAGGCCCTGTTTGACTTGTGAATGATTAGTATTTTACTTCTCTTCATTTCATTTTTACTGAAGAAATAATCCTTACTAAAAGAACATTCCAATACAGATGCGCAGAATAGTTTGAAAATCCTCCCTCAACGCGGGCCCAAGTCCAATTGATCCTTGCCGTCTTATGCTTTAAAAGGATTCATCAAAACTTCATTGAGATAAATTCATAATACAAACATTTACATAAAACTATTTAACTAGTCTAAAATAACATTCATATATATATATTAATTATATATGTTTGTGCCACTTTTGTGCGTGTGAGATCTTTTCTATTATGCTCTATATTACTCTAATCTAATAGGCCAAAACATTCTATTGGCCAAAATGGGTCTAAATTAACACGAAGCCAAACTACTCAACTAAACAACATTATTTTCATTAATGATCAACTAATTAGTTTTATTCCCCTGATTAAAATAAATAGTCTTTTGTTCTGACAAACTGATTTGATTGATTGCCCCCAAACTATCAATCACACAAAATTGTTCAACACCCCTAAAAATGGTTGTTGATTCGTCACTTTATGAAGAGTAGTAAGTAGTTTCAAACGACAAGTCCTGTATATTTCAGGTTTCTCAAAAACACACAGAGCCGAAAAGATCATTTTAAACACCCAAATCTCATATTTCTTTGTAATTATTGGGCTAAAAAAGTGTTTTGACATATTTCTTCGATAGTTAATAACACAAGTGTATGAAAGTTATGCTTCGGAGAAAAAATATACTGTTGAACATGAGATACAGCTATATATAATTGACTGCAATATACACAAGCTAGGGGAAGATGAGAAAATGATTCTTCTATACACGACAGGCAAACCCTTTTTGTGTGTATGATAATTACTTAAAATTTACCTGGCACTTGTTTTGACAAAATTAAATAGTAGAAGGCAACCGTTTGCGCGTGCGTGTAGACGATAATAAAAACTGAAATTTGGCATAAGTCTTGAGAAAGTTAAACAGTAAAAACATTGAGCTCATACCGCACGTAACAGTATTTTGCTTGGTTTCAGCTTGATGAAAAGGGAATTACCAGTGCAAGTGTTCTCTGAGATAAGGATCGCTGGGGCCAGGGACGTCGGGATCAGTCATCACCTGCAATGATAGGGGGGACAAATGAACAGCTCAAGCTCAATATATAGCAAGCATAGAGACCATCCCAGCGCAGCACGAGAATGATAATCAGAAATTAATCATATATGTGAAAAAAGAAAGAGAGGGTTTAAATAATGTGGTGGAAGAAGAAAAGAGAAGACTCACAAGCGTATAAAAGGACCTCATATCGAGTCCATCAATCTCAACCCTGGGTCTGTCGGTGACAGCAGAAGGGAAGAGCTCATAACCATTGAAGATTTGCTTCTTGTTGTAAGAGACAGCCATGTTCACGCTGGGGCTGAAGGAATCAAGTACGTCTCCTATCACTCTCCCAACCATCAGAGGTTTCTTTGCCATATTATTCCACTTTCAGGAGCACAAGGAGAAACCAAAGTGGGTAGCCACAGAGAGAATAATGATGGGACGAGGTTGAATATGGGCATATGAGCTAAAAATTCTGCTAGCTGGGCACGATGAGGTGCAAGAGTTGAGTGTATTTATAATGCTTTTGAAGTAACAGACGAGCGAGTGTTGCTAGAGATGGAAATAAGGGTCGGGCCCAGAACTTTAGAGACCCTATTTAAATAAGGGTTCGGGCTTTGAAAATAATTTTTTTTAAAGTAATCAGGCTTAAGGGCTTGGCCCTGATAAGCCCTATAAAAAAACTCAGACTCGGGTAGCCCTTCAAGCCCTGTGATATTATTATTATTATTATTTTCCTGGTGAAACATGTGTTTAAAGCCAATGCCCTACTCACCTAATCCTACCACATTATATTATTATTAATTTTAATTTTTCTAAAATTGATTTAATATAATTTAATAAATATCAGTGTATAGTATAAAATTCCTGATATTTTTATAATTATTATGTTTGTGTATTTATAAAAAATAATTATTTTTTAACCAAGATTTAAATTTTATTACTAGACTTCTAAATGTGTGTGTTTAATTTTTAAAAAATTATAAATTTTATTTTTTACTTTCAGAATATTTTAATTAATTTATAAGTTTATTTTATTTTTATTATTTTTATTTTTAAAAAGGGCTTACGCGCCCAACCCTAGCTCTTCACATAAGGGCCGGGTTTTAAAATAGGTTTAAAAAGGAACTGAACTTTAGGGCTCAGGCCCTTAAGGACGAACCCGCTTGTATTCCAACTTAAGTAACTAACCAGACTAGAAATGTATGGGATGGAACCCCACCACATTTCAACTGATGTTTTGCCCCCTCATATTACTCTCTCGCCTCTCCCCCATGCCCCAATTAGAGCCTAGATTCCCTGCATGTCTCCATATCTATGCAGAAAAGACTAAATATAATACATGGGAGGATGATATTAAAAAAAATAAAAAATTCTTTTAAAATAAAAAATAATAATTTAATCTCTGTCATAAATTTTAAAATTTAAAAATTTATTAATAAATTTATATAAATTATTAAATTATCTTTATTAAAAATAAATGATCACAACTTTCTTTCTTATATTCACAACTATTTTTTATATTCACAACAATGCAATAGTAAATAAAAATCTAACATGCGAAGTTATATTTATTGTTATATTGTTGCGAATTTAAGAAAAAAATTGTGAATATAAAAAAATATAATTATTTATTTTCAACAAGAGTAATTTGACAATTTATATAAATTCATTAATGGTAGAAAAGTTTATAGGGACTTCAATGAAATTATGATATTTTGAAAATTAAAATATCATTTATATATTTAGAAAATTTTTTATCATTTTCCATAATAAACCCCTCAATCATGTAAATAAAAATTTAATTTTTACAAAAATATTATAATTCTATTAAGGTTTATAAAAAATTTTGTGTCCATAATTTTAAAGTAAAAAAATAATTTTATCTTTATTAAAAATAATAAGTCTCAATCACAATTTTTATTTAAAGAATAATAAATTTTGTTTTGTGAAACATAGTAGTTGAACAAAAAATTATAATTTTTAAGTATAATTTCTATCTCAAAATAATGAATGCCAATCAAAACCTTTGCTTAAAGAATAATACTTTTGTTTTAAAATAAAAGAGTTGAATAATAAATCAAAACTTGTCAAGTGTAATTTATGGTATTGAAAAATAAATTCTCAAAATAACAAGTTCCAATCACAATTTTATTTATAGAATAATAGCTTTATTCAAATAATTGTAAGAATTAAAAAAAAACTATAACTTATTCATATGAGTAAAATGGTGTTTTTAATTTAAAATTTATTGATGCAAAAGTCCTTAAAAACTTTAATAAAATTATAACATTTTAAGGGATTAGATTATCATTTATATAATTCAAGAAATTTATTGTCATTTTTCCTTTTATCTATCCTTAAATTATATTAAGTAGTTTACTTTTATTATTTTGTAATTGAATTTTATTTTTAAAGGAATATAATATTAAGTTTATATCTACATGTGTCATGGTATTTTGTTAAAATGAAAAAATATATATAATATAATTAGAGGAAAATATATCATTTGTGTGAATTTTTCAATTATTAAGTCCGTAAATTTTAATTTGTAAAATCATTCTTTAATTTATTAGCTTAAAAAAACCTCAATTCTTATAATTACTTAGTATAATTGAGCCACTATAATTCATTAACTCAATAAGTACAAGAACTATTTATTAAGTCAACATTTAAAATTAAATTAATAACTAAAAAAACATTTAGGGATTAAAAATTATATTATTTTTTAAATAACCTAAAGTTTATCTTCAACCCTTAAACTAACGATTGAAAAGTATACCTTGTCTGTTACATAATTTGAAGCAAATTTTTAAGTCTTTAAAATACCTATTCATCTATACTGGGTTTTTCAAGAAAACATTTTTACTTGTTTCATAAAAATTGGTATTTTATTAATTTTATTATGGGTTATTGAACATCCTAAATCTCAAATTATTACTTAAATAGCATCTTGAGTTCTAAACTCTTAAAATAAGCATCTTATACTCTAAATTATTACACAAATAATAAATTACCCCCACTGTTAATTATCATATAACCACCGTTACTTTAACTTTGTAGAACCCACTCAAAGGCTAATGTAACACCATTCTCCTCTTGGTGCATGGCATGCCAATTGGGCTACATAACAATCAATGTTGTACGAATAAACAACAAAGGGGTAATTTGCTCAAAATTTAAAAGTCAAAGAGAGTTTTTTCTCACTATAAGAGTTTGTAGTCCAAAATACTTTTTGAATAATAATTTAGGGTTTAAGATGCATATTAACCCTTTTATTATTTACTTTATGAGATTTTACTAGATTTCTTATATATTTAGATTTTCTTTCCCAGTAAACTCTCTGGTTGGATATCAAAAAGTTAAAAATGGGAGATTTTGCTCTCCTCCCTATACTTGCTTGGCAAAATGAAGAGGGGCATTCCCCTCCCTTCGCCATTTTGTTTTAAAAAAAATCATGGAAAGAAAATTGAAATATAGATATATTTATTGAGCTTTTCTAGTGTCATGCATCCGCTACATCAATTTTAGGACATATGAAGGGTTGTTCAAATAATCCTAACCATATATTTGATTAGGGAAATCAAACACTGAAAAAAACAGAAATGTACAGCAAAACTAAAACAAAGTGCATGGACTTAAAATTGTATTTTACCATTTGATTATTAAATCTTCATCTCATCCATAAAAAATATTTAATTATATATAGGGCTAAAGTATAAATCTACCTCAATGTTTCCAGTCAGTCACACCTCATATCTTGAAGTATTTTTTGGCACAATTTGACCCCCAGTGTTTTTAATTTTGATATAATGTTTCCCCACCGTTAGGTTTGACTAGGTTAACTGTGTTTGACCATTAATCCCAATTTTGGCAGCTACGTGGCATATTTTTTAAAAATTAAAAGTTAAAAAAAAAGACCCAAACTTAAATGGCTTGCCACTATAGCCATCTCTCCTCTTCTCATTCTACCTTACTCTCTCTTTCAAACCCAGAACTTCCTTATGATCTAAACGCAAATCCTCACCTCCTCCTCCTTATGCTGTTGTCAGTATGAGCTAGCTTACCATTCATTCATTCACAAACCTTGGTTCACATAGTCATTAGAATTTGTGGCGAATTCACGAAGATGGACAGTATGTCAACGAGTCGGAGAAGCTATTCTTCTTTCTTAACTTCTACCTTCATGTCAGACCTTTTTTTTTCCTTGGCTTCCACCTTCACGAATCCACTCACCTCTTTCATCTATTGTGACATCAAACAGAACTTTTAGATTTAGGGATTTTATACGTTCAACTAAGACAGCCACTTGAGCTTTCTCAAATCGACCCCCATACCATTTTTTGCTTCAAATTTGATCATTCTAGGTCATTATCGCTTTGCCTCTCTTCGATTTTGGCTTCCTCCTTGCCTCTTGTCCCCTTTCTAATTACTCACTTATAAAGTTTTACCTAACTTAAAGGTTGAAGGTTATCTCCTCTGGTTTGAAGTATTTGGGTTGAAGATTTCTAAGCCATTGTTTAGGTTGAGGGTTGTAACATCCCAGTTTTTAATTTCCTAATTTATAAAGATTAATTAGGATAATTAAATAAGTTGACGTGGTGTGTGATCAAAGGAGAATAATAAATATTTTTAGTTGGAATTTCAGGAATAATTTAGGTTCAAAGTAAAATTAGGTCACTTTAAAGAAAAATAAGTTGAAAAGCTTCTATGCCACATGCCACGACGTATTGGGATAGGTGCTGCGGCACATGATGTGAATTCTTCAGAAATATATCATGAACTGATGTGAAAAATAGAAAGGAAATGGGGAAGCTCATATTTGCTCTGTAGGGCATGATCTAGGGGAGGATTTGAGAAAGTTTGAAGCTTCAAATCATCATAGATAAGATTCTTAAACCCTTTTTCCCCTTTTTTCTTCTATTTTCTAAAGGATTTGAGTAAGGGTTTGGATAAAGATAGTGATTTCGATCCATATAAGTTATGAGTCTGAATTCATTGACTCTAATAGAATTAATAGGAGTTATTTAAAGTATTTAAATTTAGTATTAATGATTTTGGTGGCTATTGGATAATGAGTTCCATAAATATTTCAAAATGGATATTAAATCTGTCATCATTATGGTTGTTAAGGTCTTAATGGCAATGTGGGTATTCAATGAAGTTATATAATGTTAAATATAATAATAAACTTAATGGATAGGTCCAAATGTAAGCGATGTAGGCATTAGGTAATCTAGAAAGGAAAGATTAGAGTTAAAATGTGTGAGATTGAAAATGTTAATGAAAGTTAATTTGGTAAATCATAGATTAAGCTCTTGGGCACCTATTTTGGCTTAGGAATTCAAGCTTAGAAGCTGTTATATTGAGGGTCA